CTCTGTCCTGATGCTTACATAATACTGCATTATTATTGTATATTTAATTAATGTTGTTGATCTCCTCCACTGGACTACAAGTCCCATCAGACAAAGACCATATCTATTTTATTTAGCTGAATTCCTAACATAAATGCCTGAGCTTCTGTTTCTATTGCTGTCTAACAAACTATTCTAAAAGTTAGTGGCCTAACACAACCATTTCATTGTATTCACAATCCTGTGGGTCCGGAGTTCTGAAAGGATTCAGCTGGGCAATTCATCTTCTATCAGCGGGCTTTAGCTGCATTCCTGGGGCTGGAAAATCTACTTCTAAGTTAGTTTTTCGCTCATACATCTGATGTCCCTCATATGTCAGATGTCACTCATATGTGTCATGTCCCTCATACACATAATGTCTCTCATAGGTCTGATGATCCTTGACCTCTCTCTGTTTCTGCCTGAAGTCTCACCCTCCATGGTGTCACCAAATAGCCCAGGCTTCTCATAACAGAGTCTCAGGGTAATGACACTTCTTACGTGGCAGCTGGCATCCAAGAATGCTGGAAGAGGAAGTTGCCAGGCCAGTTAAGAATGACACTCAGAATCAGGATACAGCCTTATTTGTGCCATATTCTAATGATCAAAGCACAGGATCCTTTCAGATTCAGGACTGTAGAACTAAACTCCCTCCCTTGGTGGGGAAGAGGCAAGTTCTCATTTCAGAAGAGCATTTGGAATGGGAGATACTGGTATGGACATTTTGCGAAATATGGCCAGGTATACAGTTAGCTTGTATTAAGTATGTATGCCTCAAAATTGAATCTTTACATATCTTAAAGTATAAAACATTATACTTTACCTAAGCTCTTATTGCATGTGATCTCTTTGGTCTAAAAATTTAGCAATCTTTATCATAGTAGGCAGATAGTAAATATTTAAAGGATAAATTCATTCATTACTTTTAAATTTATTGATTAGTGGCATATATAAATAGTGCAATACATATTAATAAAAATTACTCAGCTAAAACCATTATAACACTAAAATATTAATTAAACAAACATTAATGACCTGTATTATTATGGATGTTGCAACTTTGGCATTCTAATGAACTTCTGGGTTATTCCATTTTTGTCCAAACAGGGTAAACTAGGTGACCCATACAATAGAAATCAATCTCATTTTTAGACAATAACTATGAAAGTAATATAATTAAACTTATTCACATATATTGTTTCC